CTGCAACCTACTTAGGAGACTTGGATTGAATTCCCAGAGGAATATCAGCTTCCTGGCTTTGGTCCTGGTTCAGGCCTGATACTTTGATAGGTGTGGGAATTTCAACAAGTGAACCAACAGATGGGAGTTCTCTGTGTGTGTGTGCACATGTGCACATGTGTGTGCCTCTCAAGTTTTTTAAATCGAAAAATAAGTCTTCTGGGAAGAGTTCTTTTTCATTTCCTCACTTAATTCCTCCTCATGGAAGAAAAAGTGGTTATCTTCTTGGTGATATTGGTGAAAAATTTTTCACAAATATGACCCATAGTCGTTCTTTTGCAAAGTAATCTATCCACAAAATGCTTAAAGCATGATTTAAGCATTCCCATAATTTATCTGCCCATGCAGAATATGAACTACCGATCTTGTTCCTCTACCAAATGTTTATTGTTGGAGGGAAGAATTAGAATTGTAACCACAGATTTAAGGAACATTCTCAGGTTTAGTTTTGACAATAATAAAACTGATAGTTTCATCTTTTAATTCTGTGTCTGTTTTTCAACTGGTTCTGAATTCACAGTAAGATCCTGAAGTGTGATGGCACCTAAAACTTCAATAATATTTTTAAAAGATTGAAATTAAATAATGGATAAAAACCATGCAGTTCCTTATCGATGCTCAATAAATGATAAGACTCCCTAGTATTATTTTAAATTCTTCACATTAAATAGTAAAAAATACAATTTCTCAGGATTATTTTAAGGATTAAATGAAATAGCATAGGTAAAACACCCAGGACTATGCTTACACTTAAGAGTTGATCTAATGTTTAGATATTAGGTCAAATTATTGGCTGTAAAACTGTTTCTCCTTGAAATGCTAAAACATGAACAACTGCTTCAAACCATAAAATTATAACCCACTGTGGGAACTTAAAGAGTTAGGGTTTTTCACAAATCCTTCATTAAACTGACCCTAGACATTATTTAAAATTCCTTGCTTCTGCCCTCTTAAAAAAATTGCTTTGATTTCAAAGCAATGAATTTTTAATTTCATGTTATATAGTTATAAATATTGCTTCACTGAATTATACCATGTATAAGACAATATACCTTCCTTTCCCTGCTTTATAATCACTGTCACAAATCCCATATTTGTGATATTAATATCCCTGTTATCAAGAAAAAATACCGTATATGTGTATGTATATAAAATGTCTTCATGTGAAGTATGACAAAAATGTTAAAAGTTGTTAAATCTTAAAATTAAATAAATAAAAAATAGAAATAATGAATAACTCAAAACACATGCACACACACACACACACACAGAGAGATACAAACTATGCTGGGTGGAACCCTAGAGTTCCAAAAGGGTTTTCAAGAACAGTAATAAACATAAAATATTGCATATTGTTTGAGTAGTCGCTTTATTGATTTTATTTATTTTATGTAACAAAGTTTCAAATAACAATTTTATTCTTTTAAAATTTCTACTAAAATGCTTGAGCACTATTAGCTTCAAACCATAATTACTAAAAAGACTCCCATTCAGACATAGCTGTAGACTCAAAGAATGACGATCACTTTAAGTAGCACTCTGACCTCATCCCTTAAGGCATTCTGGTCTGGTTGAAAAGCCCATGAGAACATTTCAAGCATGGAAAGGCAGGACACTCATGAAAAAAAAAGTGTCCCTACATGAAGAACCTCCCTAGGTGAGACCCCAGTGGAAAGAGTGGTCATCAAGAAGGATGTACTTTTCTCTGAAAGGAGGAAAGAACTTCAACTTTGCCTAAACACTGACAGAGTTTGTGGATTCAAAAGGTTTCCATAGCCTAGGCAGCTCATTTAAGAGCCTGAGGTGATCAATGACATCATGCATAAGAGGGGTCATTACATATTAACTTCCCATGCAGGACTTCTGTCCTCAAAGAGTTGTATTATGAAAGTTAACAGTAAAACTTGCTCTCAAAGATTTATTTTATTTTAGTGTATTAAATGGAGGATATTCTTATGTTTCATAAGTTTTAGTTATGCCTAAGTGTTCAACTCCATTGCTTGCTTTCTTAGGTGCTTCCTTAATTAATGATAAAACTTATTCTCAAAGATTTACTTTATATTAATGTATTAAATAGAGGATATTCTTATGTCTCATAAGTTATAGTTATGTCTAAGTGCTCACAAAAGATATATCATTCTTGGGTGCTTCTTTAAAGTTGATTAGAAAAAAAAATAAGTGAAATCAACTTAGATGCAATGACTTTGAACAGCCCTTCTCTTGACTGTTGAGGGACAGGTTTTTTGTTTGTACAAATTGATGAACTCGTTACTTAGTATAGAGTTGGTCTTTTGTGTATAAAGTTAATTGAAAGTGGATCTTAGTGGAGAGTGGGACTGGGAATGGGAAAGAGAGGAGGAGGTGGGGTGAGAGTGGGGGTAGGAGGGGAGGTATGGTAGGATGAATCACTATATTCCTAAAGTTGTACTTATGAAATGTATGAAGTTTGTATTCCTTAAATAAAGTTTTCTTTGGGAAAAAAGCAAATAAATTTTATAAAATACATAGATGTGCTACTTCCATGAAGTAACATGTAATACTGTCTTTTAGGTTTGTTTTTTTCAAACTAATGCAAATCCCTAAACTTAACTGAAGACCTGAAACCATTGTTAATATTTTAAAGAAAAACAGACACAAAAATAAGCTTTATCAGCTAACATTTTGTAAATTTTCACCATATGGATAAGAGAGTATGCAATATGTTTTTTGCTTTTTACAGCTCAATTGACTTTCTTCTGAGTCCAAGTAGACAGCAGTCATTTTCGAGGCCATCCAAGATCATAAAACCTTATATTTAGGAGCTTGTTTCTATTTTAATAAGTGAAAGTTCTAGAGCTTTCTCAAGCTCTCTTCGAGTTTTAGTGTGCTGACACACTAAATCTCTACCAGATAGACACATTTGCCCGGAGTGGCAAACTAGTGACAGGAAGAAATAGGGATTGTCTAGAGTTCATTTTGACGATGGGTGATGGATGATAGTAGAGAAAATAATTATAGAGATTCTAGAGGCAGTGGTATTAGTGTTCATTGCTAGTGGTATAGACAGTGCAAGTTACAGTAGTGAAAATGCCCAAGAGTCACATTATTTAATACATTATATAAACGAATATATTGAACACATATTAAATGATTTCCTTTTCTACAAAATCAACTAAATTCAATTTCTAATGCTTCAAACAAATCCCTTGTTATAAAACTTTATAACTTTAAGTTTTAGCAATTACCTATGAACACCTATCTTAATAAAGGCTCTCAAATGAAAACAAATATGCAATGACCTGCCTAGTCAATGAGATACCCCTTATTTAGCTTATGAATCTTCCTATGTTCTTTAATGAACAACACAAACCTTGGAGAGATTCCTACAACTTATAACCATTCTTTTTCCTACTGCCTTTCTGGTAGGTGATAGGATAATTATTTAATTGAACTAGTATGATCACAATTTGAAGAGAAAGTGGCAATATTTTGGAAATAATTTTAATACAAGAGTACAGTAAATTTATGACAGGATAAAAGTCCTGGTTCTAAAAAATATTACAAATCTCTCTAAAATTGGTTAGCTATATTTCTTTGAGACCAAGCTTGAGGAAATTACATAGAGCAAAAAGCCATCATTGTCCATCTCCCTACCTTTACATACTAACTGTAATATATATACAACTGGTGGAACAAATAATAGCCTTCTCCCTACTGGAGAGATGGAGCTGTTGCAACCTGAGAATATCAGAAACATGGTAGAAGAGTTAGGGCTAGTAAATATCCTCTCTAAAATGTTGCTTAGGTCTTAGATTAAGTGCTTGATTATCTTCTAAAACCATCCGCCATCCATCAGAAGGCAGTTAGCACAGCTATATTGGAAGAACATGCAAAATGTTCCCTGACCACATTCTAAATGTATCACATCCATTGATCTGGATCCTGACACCTGTGGAAAGACTCATCAAATAGTCAGTTACACACTAAACATTTATTGTGTGCTATGTGTAAGCACATCTGGTAATTCATGCAGAAATGTCAATTACAGTCCCCTGTTAGAATTGAGCCTACTGCCAACTAATCTCTCTGTCCAAGGCTCCACATGATTGGTATTTTGATATGAGATAAGTCATTAAAGACATTAATTATGGAAAGTATAGACAAGAATGCAAATTCATTGAAGAGCTTACATGAATGTTTCAGGTAAGGTATTACTAAGAAAAAGAAGGTGAACTGTATGGAGGGAGAAATATGAAACTAACAGGCTCTAGAGGTGACTAAAGCCGTCTGGTTTCTGAGAGACAAGAGAGATCATCAGTTTTTGACAGTTCTCAGGTCCTTTGAAACTGAATTGAACTCCATTTTGGTCCTTGGACTCAACAGGACTGCTATGACATCACTCACACCCTGATACATATTTTTTTTTATTTTTCTCAAGTCATTATCAATGAGTTTTATCTTCTTTCACTCAAAAGAGTCCTGACTGGAAAATAAATCAGAAGACAATAAGTGCAACAGAGAATGGTGTTGGGGCAAAGAAGAAGCATAAAGACAGAATAAATGAAAAATAAGGCTGTTTGATCAATGAAATGTTAAGCTATTCAAAAAGAGATAAAGATCCTCTAAAATGTGTCTTCAAGTCCCTTTCATGACATGTCTCATAATTTCCAGTAATTCAACCATGTGTCTCAAATACTAGATGTTTTCATATGAGGATTTTGTTTTCAACCTACCTAATAAAAATTATCACTAGGAATTCCATCAAATAAAAGTTTATTTATTTGGGGTTTTTTAGTCCTTTTCCTTTTTTTTCCTTTTGTACTGCCTCTGTTCCTACTCCTACCCCAGATACACACACACACACACTCAATTAGTTAATAAAAAGCAACAGTAAACAGCTGACATATACATCCAACTATTTAGTGAAAACTAAAGCACTACATATATGTATTCACATGAAGTAGTTATTTACTTGCCATTCCTTTATCTATATGGATAAAACATATTTTGGGCAAAATCTTTTAAAATGGCATACATGCTTATGTCTGTGGAATAGTCATGATATATATCCTCACTATCCTTTTCAAGTAAAAGCAATTTAAATTCTCGGAAATAATTACATATGCAATTTTTCATTTTTCACTATTGAAAATAATTGGCAATTTTAGAACTTACTGACCTTTCCTGGGCGATTTTTATCACCTTCTTCTACCCAGTCTGTTAAGAACAATAGTGCCCTCACATTTTGTGTGTGTGTGCGTGAGAGAGAGAGAGAGAGAGAGAGAGAAAGAGATTTAGTGAAAAAAAATATGTGTATATATATTCATATTTACTCTAAATATATGGTTCACAATGAGCATATATGATTAAAGGACTTTTCCTAGGTAACTATAAGAACAAGGGATTTAAGCATATCCACAATGTGGTGCTAAGAAACTATTTAGAAACCGTTGCTCATCATTTCTCAACAGAATCTATGGTTTTGTCTGTGTTTGCCCAACAAATATCTCTATTGTCTATTGTAATGAGCATGTACATATGCCTCCACATTGAATATTTTTCCCCTAAAGGCATCCAGCTCCACACTCCAAGGCATACTGAAAGCCATACAAAATTGGGTAATGTGTAACAAGGAAGGTACCAAAGAAGGTTTAATTAGTAATGGTGACAGTAGTGACACTTTCCAAAATTAGACAGAGGATTATGTGTCTATTTCTACAGGAGAACACGTATGCAGGAACAGAAAGGGGAGGCAGAGCTGGCTTTTTGGTTTATATTTTCCAGATGATTTCTAAGTGTTACTCACGGTGGAAAACGTATTCAGTATAAGAGGTCCAGATCTTATCATTTGTCTGATCAGGAGTAGCAGTGCAGGTACCAGTGGAGTTGCATGCTACCATATGGAAGCCAGCATCAGCTAGTTTGTCAAAGGCTTGTTCCAGAAAAGTGAATTTGAGGTAGTATCGAGAAGTGTATCGCTCAGGAGGACGATCGGGATCTCGGCTCTCATTCAGAGTATCTCCAAACACTTCTTTGGCCAATGAAATCTTGCCACACACCATGATTCGGGCTACACGGCGGAATTTAGCATCTGTTTGGCTGTCCCGACTCAGAGTATAGGAGCCTCGATAGCCAATAGTGATGAAGCCTGCCTTCTTGAGGCCAGAACCAGTTCCCATTTTCAGAGCTAGGGGATTAACAGGGCCACTAATTTGGATAATATTACTTGAAGAGAGGTTATACATGGTGTCAGTGTTGGGGGACAGCTCGTCTAGGTCACTTTGGCATATGTCAGTGCCAATTAAGTTGAGCTTGTTTATTTTAGGAGTCAACATCTTGACAAGCTCTGGCAACTTGAAGTATTCCGCTTCTCTCTGGAGCCGACCCCACTCTGGAAAGTGGTCAGGAAGCACTACTTGCTTATCTCTCATGTAGTCTAACACATAGCGAAACAGGAAACCATCTCGATCTACAAAGAATCTCCCTTTGTTGTCCTGGATCAGGGAGCAAGGATTCTTTTCACTGAACATTTCCCAGAGCAGGGAACCAGGAATGCTGACCAAAGTAGGATAGCGAGTGATATACACCTGACCACCTACATTGAGTTCAATAATCTCAGGGAAATGACTGGAATCCTCACTTTGTTTGGTACAACTTGATTTCTCTGGCCAGGCCATATTGATCTGCAAAAGCAAAACAGATTGGTCTTGAATATGAGCTTACAATGTGGAAATTATTTTTATTAAATTAATTTTCTGTACGCACACAGAGACACATACACACTAACTACACATCAAGAAGCATAATCTTTTACTGATTAATTTTACATTTAAAAAGTTGTATTGAGAAATAGTACAATATTTAGCTTTGCAATTTTTTAAAATATTTTTCTGAATGCAGGTGTATTAGATGATCATACTCATCAACTCACATCATGTCATCAAATTTCATGCAAGAAACCCTCTCTGTGATTTTTATTTAGTTCTAATATATTCTCACTCTCAATTTCCATTTCTGACCCTGTCCCTATCAAAGGCAACCATCCGGATAAGTTTCTTTTTGTTTATATGTATTCTTATAAAATGGGTTTTGTGATTTTAGATAGATGTATATGTTATTGTATTAAATATTTCATTCTTCATTCCTGTATTTTCACTCTCAGCACTATATTTTGCAGATTCATTCTATACTAATATAAGAACATAATTCATCTGGGCATATCTGGTCTCTATCTATCAACATCTATCCTCTGTCCCTCATCCCCAAGATATCCTAAATATTGTTACAAGATTGGTTATTCTCACATTACGTTCTACTCTGTTTACCCATTTCTAGTAGCTCCACTTGGGCTATATATCAAATACAAACCCCTTACCCTGAAATTCAAAACTACCTATAAGCTAGTCATATTCTGTTTATAATGATAAGAAAAATTAAACTTATGTAGAACTTACTATGTTCTAGACATCATTCTTAACCAATGAGGTGGGTAGTATTATTATCCCCAACTAGTAAATAGCTGGTAAGAAAAAAGATTGTCCAATATACAACAAATAAGTGAATGATGTGGCATTCAAACTCAAGCAGTAGCACTCCGGTGTCTACATTCTTAAACACTAAACTTTCTTGTTCCCTTTTGATTATATTTGCTAAGACTTCTTTACATGTAGAAAAATGTTGCATGCCCATGATATGATCATTTTTGCCTTTACTCATTCCTTCTCCCATTCTGTAAAATATTAGTTCATTGCCTATATATCCATCTATACTTGAAATACCAATTCAAGCCCCAAATAAGGTTAGCCTCCTCCTCATATTTCTATATTAAACTTTAAATCCTTAGATTTAATGAATTCATACAGTTTCTTACCCTTTCACATAATAATAGTAATAGTAGTTTCAATAATAACAATAGTTAATATTTTTGAAGCAGTTACTAGAAACCAGTCCTCTTCTGATCTATTTATTTTATTTTTTTTTTATTTTTGACAGGCAGAGTGGACAGTGAGAGAGAGAGAGAGACAGATAGAAAGGTCTTCCTTTACTGTTGGTTCACCCTCCAATGGCCACTGCGGCCGGCGCGCTGTGGCCGGCACACCGCGCTGATCTGAAGCCAGGAGCCAGGTGCTTCTCCTGGTCTCCCATGCGGGTGCAGGGCCCAAGTACTTGGGCCATCCTCCACTGCACTCCTGGGCCACAGCAAAGAGCTGGCCTGGAAGAGGGGCAACTGGGACAGAATCCGGTGCCCTGACCAGGACTAGAACCCGGTGTGCCGGCGCCGCAGGTGGAGGATTAGCCTATTGAGCCGTGGCGCCGGTGGATCTATTTTCATATATCTAAATACTATTACAATTCCTGTTTCTTAGAGGAAAAATAGACACAGTCTTTTACAACTTTTCAGAGACTATTGCTCCACTTACTAATCTGCCCTTCATACTATAACTAGAATTACCTTACTAAAATGCAGAACTTATTTTGGTCTTCCTTGAATAAACTTTGTCAACAATTCCTGAAAGATTATAGATTTTTAACAGCCATATTAAATGTGTTATATTAAATGCTCTACACTCTCTACTTTGCCTTGCCTTCAGGCTTTAATTCCAATTATCTTTCCCTTTCTTGCCCACAAAATGATCCTAAACTTTAGCCATGTTGTATCTAGGCTCAGTTCACCAAACTCATCCACGTTTTCAGGTCCATATGCCTTAAATTTATGATTCTCTCTGTCTGATATTTCCTCCTTTTTTAAAATTTTTTTTATTTATTTGACAGAGTTATTGAGAGAGAGAGAGAGAGAGAGAGAGAGAGAGAAAGGTCTTCCTTCTGCCTGTTCACTCCCCAAATGGCCACTATGACCAACACGCTATGCAGATCCGAAGCCAGGAGCCAGGTGCTTCCTCCTGGTCTCCCATGCAGGTGCAGGGGCCCAAGCACCTGGGCCATCCTCCACTGCCTTCCCGGGCTACAGCAGAGAGCTGGACTGGAAGAGGAGCAACCGGGACTAGAAACTGGCGCCCATATGGGATGCCGGTGCCGCAGGCGGAGGATTAACCAAGTGAGCCACAGCACCGGCCCTGATATTTCCTCCTTTATTTTACTCACCCAACTGCCCCCCGCCACTACCACTTCTTGAGAAAAAATGTCCTAATGACTTTGAGCACATCTGAGTTGGAATCCCAGCTCTGCCACATACTCAGTGGACAAACTAATATTCTTTTTAATCCTTAGTGGACTAATCTTTAAAATGAATATAATAAAAATCTTAATAAGATGAGGAAATTATATACAATGCATATAAAATATGTAACATATTGATGGCACATAACAAATGCTTAACAAATGTTTGGTTACATTAGCTCCCTTAGCTTCTCTTGGGAAAAGCAGTGAAGAATTGCTATCCACGGAATTGAATACAGCACTAGAAGTTTCATAGTGATCCAATAAAAAATTGCTAAAATGAAACATCTTCTCTGACCTCCCACCTGTCTTTTCATATTCTCTACTATTGTTGCAGTTAAGAAATAACCTCTATGGGAGAAATTACCACAAATTTTTAATTTCTATATCTGTGTCTAATATCTATGAATATACATAATAGTCTTTATTTAAATATCTGGATCCCCAGCACTGTGAACATAGAGAGAAGTAAATGCTGAATGGTGAATAAATCACCAGCAAACAAATGTGATATTGATCTCATTATTTTCATAATCCCATAGTATATGAGTAGAAACTCATTATAGAAATCCATTTTGAGTATATGAACAAGAAACGTATTTGCACTAGATTTTGCAGATTTTTGAATGCAATAAAAAGTTTTATTTGTTCCTTTCATAAGCAATAAGTGTCCAAGATAGTTGTTCTTCATTGTACAGGTCATTTTGTAACAAAATTAAGCATCAGAAAAATTAGAGTATGAAATTAATATTCTCTTATTTCAAGGTTTTTTGTCTTTTTAATTGCTTTAAAGTTACCTGTACCTAAGTCAATTGATGGTCTAAAATCCTATGAATCAGAGCCACATTCAGTTTGATGAGTGAAGTTGGGTATCTATTTTGGCTCTCAGATTAACAATGAAGTTTTTTTTGATAAATTGTTAGGAGAGAACCTTTACTACTAGAGGAAGAAATCTGAAGGAGAAAAGTCAATACTAGAACTGCCCAGGACCTTAGACTGCTGCCTTTCTGTGGCACAATCAGGAACATAGTTTTATACATGAACAGAACTTATTCTTAGTTAACTAAGATATCAAAAAGAGTTTATTTTTAAGAAATAAAAGTGGAGGTATTTCCTCCAATAATGAAACAGCTTCAATTCAAAAGCACCCATGGCATATTATCATTACATGAAGTCAAGGAGGGTCTGCTTTCCAAACAGGAGGATTTTATCTGTTGGCGTGTATTTGCAATGTAAAAATATCTTTTGTATCTAAAATATTTTGATACTCCCCCTTTCTTCCTTTTTCCATCACAGTGTTTTCTGTCTGTCAGGCTTTGTTCAAGAGAAGTCAAAAAGTAATTCATTCATCTAACCATATGTCAATTTGGGAAATAACATTCTAGGGAAACCTGAAATGTCTCATTTGTTCTCTTCTGCACATAAACCAAAGACTGATATGTGCATGTGGTTAGCTGCCCTCAGTATATCAAAGAAATAAAAATCTCTGCAAGGCAGAAATAAAAGAGATAATATGAACATATGGTTAAAACCGGATTTTTAAGTCTTTGAACCCAGCTGTATACTGCAAGCCCCTGAGAGCTGTGCTTCACATTTTAACATTTTAAAGTCATTCAGGAAAGTAGTTAGTACATCCTTTGCTTTTTGTAGTCAAATAATCCTGCTGCTAATTATAGTATTGTATCCAAGATCTAATGTTTTTAAAAGGAAAAAACAAGTCAGATATATCAAAACACCATATTGTAACCTCTTTATAGCAGTTTCTGATTTCTTTCTGAAAGTGCTAAGGAAGTTTTTTCTGAAGAAATAAGTTTATGAATGAGTCCCGATTTTGTTAAAGCTGAAATCCGTGTGTCCTAATAGCTCCTCTCTTCTCTCCCATCACCCCCACCGCCTTTTTCTTCCTCATCCTCCTCCCCCACCCACGACCATTTTGTCTTAAATATGCACTCACCAGAATGAACACACCCATTTAAATTTACAATGTGATTCCCACCTTTTAAGTTGCTCCAGTTCAGAGAGATCCAAGAAATCAAAGTAGGTAACAGATGAGCTGAAAATGTAAGCAAAGCAGAAAATTTTAAGAGATAGCTTTTCTTCTACTTGCCGGAGAAAAATCTTCAGCAGCAGTTCTTTCCTTTTCCAAGTAGAATTTCGGTCATGAAGTGAAATTCTAGCACCCAGATGCTTCAAAAATATTTTATAATTTTAAAATTAACTGATGATGAAAAAAATCTGGATTTTCAGAATTCTCCTTCAGGAAGAGTCTTGCCTGCTTTTGGATCTCTAGCCTGCTTTTCATGCAGGTTTCACATGCAGTCCTCTCTCAACACAGAGAAAGAACACACACAGAGAGACATGTGTATATCCAGCTAAAGTACAGAGGCTTCTGAACTCCAGAGCAGTAGACTGGAAAGGAAAGAAACTGAAGTCAGTGGAGAAGTTACCCTGAATCTCCAATCACTGAGATATGGCCAAACACAGCCTCAGTCCCGCTCAGCCTTGCTGCCCTGCTGGTGCTCAGCTCTGCTTGTGGAATGCCTCCCTTCCTCTCCCTGGTTATGTGCTTTAGTGCTTGAACTGAGTTTCCCTTTTTAATACTAGGAAGCCTCCTCCCCTGCTATGACATACTTGGCTCCCTCTCCTGCTAGCTTCCCATATGAAAATGTCAAGCTTTTTATTCTACAGTTTGAGAAGAAAGCAGAGGAAAGAAGCAGGGAGATGATGGTGTTGGTGATATTAACAAAAGAGTAGAATTTGGGGTTATGGGAGAATTGTTCCTGATCTTTTTCTTGATTCCAACAGAACCAATAAACATTTATTAGGAATGCATTTTTGGCTAGTGAGTTGATTGAATTTTAAACTCAGATGCACTAGGTCCATTTATTTTAATAACTTTATTGTGATAATTATTCAAATGACCTCTATAGTTCCAATAAATCATTTATTAACATTTTCTATGTGATAGAAAACATGGTGAACATTGAGGATAAATAAATAAATAGATGCTTTTTCCATTCTTAAGAGTTTTAGACTTTAGTCCAGGAAAAAGAAGCATGAACAAGTAAATTCAATATAAGGTTTTAAGTGTGATGGAGAGGCAAGCACACAATTTCATAATAACACTAAGTAAAGACTAAGCAATCTTGAAATCTTCCTGGAGGATATGATTAAACAATCTTACCAGATGATAAGAATTAGCCAGAAGAAGAAATGTAACAGATGTATTCTAGGCAAAAAAGAACAATATCAGAAAGTACAAAGATATATGGAAAAGACTAAGTATTGTAATCAAAATTTCAATGTTGGCGTCAAGAAAGGCAGGCTATTTCATTCTCAAAATCTAACTTAATTTTCTTCAGTCTATCCATGCAATTCTAGTACAGAATGGACAAATTATCCAATATAAATATGGCTAAACTAAATGATTTCATTTCATATGCAATTTCTTCCTTTATCCTCAAATTAAATTATGGAGATAAAGCAGGGATTTTTCAAAAAGGAAATGTGAATGATCCTGTCTCTGTAAACCTTATATTTCTGTCAGTCAAAGAACCAACCAAGTTTCTGAAACATTGTGCTGGAATTGGTATGGTTTGGAGTGAGGATATATTTGCCTGTAAGAAATAGAAGCTAGATTCTGGGGCTGGCACTGTGCCGGGCATAGCGGGTACAGCCGCCGCCTGCAGTGCCCGCATCCCATATGGCTGCTGGTTCGAGTCCTGGCTGCTCTTCTTCCAATATAGCTCTCTACTATTGCCTGGGAATGCAGTGGAAGACGGCCCCAGTCCTTGGGCCCCTGCACTCCCTTGGGAGACTCAGAAAAAGCTCTTGGATCCTTTATCAGCTCCAGCTGTTGCGATCTTTTGGGGAGTGAACCAGCAGACCCTTTCTCTCTCGACCTCTTCCTCTTCTTAATTCTGTCTTTCAAATAAATAAATCTTAAAAAAGAAATAGAGGACAGACTCAACAATTAGGGAATATTTATTTTCTCACATAACAAGATTAAGGTAGATCAATTATGCCACTGTTATATCAGCAGCTTTATGACTTTATTAGAACCTTTTCAAGATCATGTTCAGCTTTCTTTGCTATATTCACCAAATGGCTATAGCAGCGTAAAACATTTTACCCTTATATAGCAGTCTGAAGACAAAGAAGTAAGTAAAAGAATGTTCTCTCCAAAACAATGTGCTCGCTCGCTCTCTCTCTCTCTCTCTCTCTCTCTTTCCCTCATAAATCACATTCTTTAGGAATATTTATATAATGACAAAGAAATGAAGGATATGGGTAGTAAAATGAAAGCAGTTTAAAGTCTCTAATTATAAGCTTTCATTACCTATAGTTATTCAAATATTTATTTATGTATTTAATTATTATTTCAAGGGCAGAAAGATTACCAGCCAGCCAAACAGAGATCTCCCATCAGATGGTCCACTCTCTAAATGTTTTCAACAGCCGATGCTGAGTCAGGCTGAAGCCAGGAGCTAGGAACTCAATCCTGGTCTCCCACATAGGTAGCAGGGACCCAACTTCTTGAGCCATCAACTGTTGGCTCAGGGAGTGCATTAGCAGGAATCTGGAATTGGGAACAAGCAAGGACTTGAATCCAGGCACTCTGCTATGGGATGCTCATGTTCAAGTGGCATACCAACTGCTTTGGCAAATATCCACCCCAAACTTTTTTTTAAGGTTTATTTACTGATTTGAAAGGTAAAGTTACAGAGAGTGATGGATACAGAAAAAGAGAGAGTGAGAGACAGAGAGAGAGAGAGAGAGAGAGAGATCTTCCATCTGCTGGTTCACTCACCAAAAGGCCACAACAGGGTTGGGCCAGGCCAGAGCCGGGAGTTGGATCCCCATCTGGGTTTCCCTTGTAGGTGACAGGAGCCCAGGCACTTAGACCATCTTCGGCTGCTTTCCCAGGTGCAATAGCAGGATGCTGTATTAGAAGTGGAGCAGCCAGGAATTGAACCAATGCTCATTTGTGATGCAGGTGTCACAGGAGGTGGCCTAACCCACTGTACCACAATTCTAGGACCAAAACATTTATTTTTAAGCTAGGAAAATCCTTCTCAGATGCCCTATACCCTCAGCATACATTTTCATCAATAACATCAATCCTAAATGGGCCATGTGCCTACTCCCATACCAGTCACTGACAAGAAAAACGCAAAACCGAAAACTATATTAAATATATCTTAATATATTCTCTTCTCTGGAGAAAGATAGTTTCCTTTAAAGCACATTACTTTCCAAAATCAAACAAACAAACAAAAAACTTGAAGTTCTGTTATCATGGAAAATGCTGGCAGCGACTGCTGGATAGGCAAACAGTGGGGTTCACTACAAGGCGTTTTTAGTTGCTATTAGGTGAATAAACTCAAATTCGAGTTTGGCACAAGTACCTTTCTCCTGTCTTAGAATCTGAGCATTAGATTGGGGAATATCAAAACAAAATCCCTGAACTCTCTCAATTCTCTAAGGCCACCCTTATTTTTTTTTAGTATTATGATAAAATTTACATATTATAAATCAATAAAAATAAAATTTTAATCATTTTAAATAGAAACCATTTTACATAGATATGCTGTAAAATCATCTTCTATTTACAAAACTTTCATCACCTCAAAGAGAAACTATATACATTAAACAATAACTTCCTATTTTTCCCTATCTTCAGCTCCTTGCTACTTGTAATCGACCTTCAACCCCTATAAACTTGCCCATTGTAGATATTTCATACAAGTATAAGTTGAATCATAGATTTATCTTTTTACTTGTGACTCATTCCACTTAGCAAAGTGTACCTTTATACATTTATATATTTATATCTTTCTTAGTGTAGTTTTAGGTTCACAACAAACTTGAATGAAAAGTACAGAGAATCCTTTCCATATACCCTCTACTCCTACACATGCATAGCCTTCCTTATCTATCAACATCTCCTACCAGAGTGGTATGTTACAATTAATAAACCTACATTGTCATATATTATCACTCAAATTTCATAGTTTCCATGAGGGATTGTTCTTCCTATGGAACATTCTACGGGAATGAATAAACTTAACATGACATGTATTCACCATTATACTATATACAGAATAGTTTCACTGCCTTAAAAGTCATCTGTGTTTCAGCTATTCATTCGTTCCTCCATCCTAACCACCATCAAGAACTGATCATTTTACTGTCCACAGATTTGCCTTTCCAAGAAGGTCATAAAGTTGAATCATATTGTGTGCAGCCTCTTTAGATTGTCTTCTTAATAATAGGCAATCAAGTTTCCGTTATGTTTTTTCATGACATAGTAGCTAATTTTCCTTAACACTGAATAATATTCCATTGTCTGGATGCTTAATTATTTATCTATTCATCCACTGAGTTACCCAAGTTTTGACGTGATAAAAAGAGCTACTGTAAACATCTACTTGCAGGTTTTTGTGTGAGTAAAAGTTTTCAGCTCCTTTGGGTAAATACCAAAAAACACAATTATTAAGTCCTATTATGAAGGTGTGTTTAGTTTTGTAAAAAACTGACAAACTTTCTTCTAAAATATTTTACCACCCATAATGAATGGGACTTTTTCCTATTTTATCTTCTAGGAGTTTTATAGTTCTGTATTTTACATTCAGATTTGTGATCTATTCTGAGTTAATTTTTGCTTCACATACTCATCAGTACTTGGTATTATCTATTTTCTGATTTTAGCCATTCTAATAATTCCATAGTGATATATTGCTTTAATTTTTACTTATTATTTGAAAGCAGCAAGACACAGAGAAAGAAAGAGAAACAGAGAGACAGAGAAAGATCTCCCATCTTCTGGTTCACTACCTAAATGCCTGCAACAGCCAGGGCTGGCTCAAACCAAAGTCACGGGTTGGGAACTCAATCTGGGTCCCCCATATGAGTGATGTGGACCAGCAACTCTACTGCCTTTTATGCTGAAAATTAGCAGGAAGCTGAATTGGAGACTAGAGTCAGGAATCCAACCCAGGTACTCAAATATGGGATGCAGGCATCCCAAGAGTCAAATGCCCATCCTCCAGTGATTTTTAATTTGCATTTCCCTAATGACAAATGATGCAGAACATCTGTTTACATGCTGTTTACTTTTCATATATATTTTTTGGTGAAGTATCTGTTGAGGTCTTTGGCCCATTTAGTAAAAATGACATTGTTTTCTTATCATCGACTCTTACAAACTCTATATATTTTAGATAACAATATTTTATCACATATTTCTTTTGCAAATATTTCCTCCCAATTTGTGACTTCCCAATTCATTTTCTTGAGAATGTCTTTCATCGATCAGAACATTCTTAATTTTAATGAAATTTGGTTTTCAGTTCTTTGTTTCAGATTATCCTTATAGTGTTATATTAGAAAAGCCATCAACAAACCCAACATCATCTAAACTTTTTCCTATTTTATCTTCTAGGAGTTTTATAGTTCTGCATTTTACATTCAGATTTGTGATCCATTCTGAGTTAATTTTTGTAAAGAGTGTAATTTTTTTGCATATGGATAAACAATTCTTCTAGTACCC